TCAAGTGTGCCGGCGAGCTGTTTGCCTTTCCCGGTTAGTGTTGTCCCCGCGGCACGGACCTCACCCGCAGCTGGGGGGCGGTGCAGTTTCTGCTCCTCAGGGGTTGAGGAGCTGTTTTTCCAGATGTTTTCTGTCGGTCAGCTAAGCGCAGCCGTGCATCCCGTGGAAAGGATACGGGAAGCCATCCCCTGTTCCCTGACAGTCAGTTTTTTAACTAGAAACTGTTCTTGTAACGGTTATTATAACTGCAGAACTTCAGTTCACGGAGCTACGTGAAACAAAATATCCTGTAGTGGGTAAATACGGATTGAGTACATATTATATTTATCTATAAATGTACATCTATACGAGTCTTGTATCTGACAAGTCTAGACAGTGACTTAACTTTGAAAATAAGACAAACTCGGCTATTCATCAGTTTCAGACCCTCTCCTAAATTTTTCTGTTTTAGGGCCTTGATAAAGCAAATATGTTTCCTCTCGTGCAACGGTGCTGCTTCCGCACGCCCTTCAAAGTAAGTTTCTGAAGCCATTTTTTCTATCTTTAAAAGTAAAATAGCAAAAGGTATGACTGGAGCATTGGAAAAAGAGGTGACTTACACGTTGCAGCAGCTGCACACTTATCACTCAGCTTTTCTGAGAGAATTCTTAGTTCCTACAGCAGCTTTTAGCCAAAGCTAAGGTATTTCTTTTTCAAAATCTAGTTGTAGTGTCTAAAGGCCTTTTTAAATTTAATTTTTTAAGAGTGTGAGGGGGTAGTAATTTGTTTCTGGACTGATATATCTTAACTTAAAAATGCCTGAAGAATGTGTGCGTGGGTGGAAGGGTAGGTGGATATACAAACCTGTTGTAGTGACTGAGGTTTGCTTATTCACTATGAGGAGCCTAATGGCCCTTCATCAGCTAGCTTGTTAAAGCTGCATGAGTTAGCTTAATTATTTAAATGAAAAACACCTGAAAACCAAGAAGAAGGACAGTGGTGATGTGACCTGAGTTGGAAAATTACCTAGTACGATATTTCATAGGTAGTTTAGGTAACTGTAGATCCATAAGCCTACACTGGAGGGTGTTCAGAACAAGCTTTATAATTGCAGCTCCAGAAGTTAACTGGTCCCAGTCTACTACTGTATGGAAGGAAGAGGACAACTGTCTCTTCTCTCAGCCTCTGTCTACGGAGAGAGGTGTGTCTTCTCTCAAGATCTCCAAGCCTCAACTCAGCATCAGTATATGCAACCAAGCTCCACGCTTTTCACACCTCTCTCCCCTTCTTCAAGAAGAAAACTCCCAAAGCTGAGACCAAAGACTCTGGCATCTTGAAACGAAGTATGAAATCACTAAAGGAGTCTCCAAAGCCAGCCCTTTACTTAAGCCTGGCAGGGCTAATTCCATTTGTTTCTGTGCCGCTGTCAATGGCCATCCAAGGGACCTACTACCCAGAGCTGGCATTTGCTCAGATCACATATGGTGCCGTAACGGTCTCTTTCGTAGGAGGAATGAGGTGGGGGTTTGCTCTCCCAGAGGACAGCCCAGCCAAGCCAGACTGGCTGAACCTGGCTAACAGTACAATTCCTCTTCTGCTCGCCTGGCAAGCCTTGCTTTTTAAAGATACCACTTCTGGTGCAGTAATGGTAGTAATGGCCTTAGGGATAGCACTGCATTATGATGTTTCCCTTCTTCCTGCTTATCCCAGGTGGTTTAAAGTACTGAGGGTAATGGGAACAGTGGTGATGGTATTGTCTCTATTAGCTACTGCAGCATTGAAGACTATGTTAGAGGAGCAGCTAAGTGACAGCAGAAATAAATGGCAGAACACAAAATAATAAATCAGTAGGAAAAAGCTATTTATTTGCCCATAAGGTACTTGTGTTGAGTTCGGGGGGGGGAATAAAGACTTATTTGTGCTTGTAAGTCATAAGATGGCAGTGATCAAGATGCTTATTCTCAAAGCAAACAACTTAGCTAGTTTAGGAGGGAAGGATTGTAAATAGCAATGACTTCTAAGGCAGGCACATGTCCGTCCTTATCTGTAGAAGAGTGTGACTTTTGAATGAGATTAATTTAAAATGAAGATTCAAATGACATGGGTATGAATTGCTCTATGCTGAATTATTAAAGTATCTAATTTAACTATAATGCATGATAACGTTCTGTGGTGGGGGGAACAACCGTGTGGTCATAAACAGTAACAAGGTGAAAGCAGTTCTTCTAGTTTAGTATTTAGGAAAGCAGCAGAGAATTTGGCAATTGTACATACATGTTCAGTTCCTCTGTTATGAGACAAAACTCTTTTCTGTTTTATTCGGTGGTAGTCAGGTAAGAAAGGAGCCTAGTTTGCAGTGGTAAGCCAAGGTCAGCCGCTCACCTAAATACGTCATCTGGCTGCTCTGAGGGAGTGGGGAAAGCTAGAAGGGGAAGCTTTGCATCCTTCACAAGGGGCCACAAGAGACAAAGTTTCTTCCTACTCAGGCTTACTTAAATGAAAAACGATACCTGGGCCCTCTGTTCATAGGTTTTGTTTGGACTTGGGGCCGCATCTCCACAAAGATCTGTCATACTCTGAAATTAAAGTACTATCGACTGGTGATATGACACATAGACAAATGTATGGTATGACACAAGGAGTCAAGTGCTAGCACTAAAGGATCAGATAATGGGATTGAAAGTAGTTTGTGTCTTCTCCTTCCTCAAAACTTGTTTTATTTGAGCACCAGGGCTAGGTACAAATAGACGTGTAGCCTGCAAACCCTCCATGATGGGCCAGTTATTGAAGATACTGCAGGAACATATGTTTTTTGTACTTAAGTCTTCCTAACACATCATTTAGGGGAAGGAGACACAGCCTAAGTCACATGAATTTTCTCTTCTGGAGTTAGCTACCTCAAGAAACCTATTAAATTCTCTGTGGGCATATTTACTGTGGGCTTTTTATCTTAAGTATTCTTTAAGTACAGTATAAGATGCAAGAAGAAAGCTGAAAAGTGACATTCACACACAATCTTAGGACCAATTAGATAATCCTCATAGTGCTCTTACAGCACTATTCTTCAATGTTGTTCTATACAGAACAAAGCACATACTGTCACTTAAAAGAACAGACAGTTAGGAAACCTGCCCATCCTGAAGACAGAGTCATCTTCTTATATAGTATTCCAGAAACAACAACTATGTACATGAGCCTCTTACTTTTGTAACCTGTTAACCTTTACATGTTAAGAGCATCATACCTCTTGAAACAGTGATATATTTCAGTGCTCTCTGACTATAAAGAAAGTAAAATTGAGTTTGTGAACGAAACCAGTTCTTTTATTCTTTCTTACTTACACATGGCATTTTAAAAAATGGGTCCAGAGAAGAGTACTGCCTTTGACTTGATTCGGGGAAAGAGGTGCCAAGTATCAGAGACCATAATCAACCGACTTCAAATTGTCATTCAAGCATGATAGAATCAGCTACAAAAACTGGAGAAGGTAACTCCATACAGCAGCAGTGTCCCCCATCACGAGGGATTCTGAAATATAAAGAAGAAAGCCAAAGAAATATTGCCTGTCATTTGATCCCAGAAAGGGCTGCACAGAGCTGGCCAGGCAACCAGACTTCCAAGTCTGACTGATTTTAAATGAAGAAGTGTGTTACTTGCACCTTCCAAATTGTCAGCACTTACAACCAATCTTTTCCTAGGGTCCTACTGGGAAATAGAATTCCCAGTTAAAAAAAAAAAACAACAAAAAAAACTATTATATGAAAGTGGCAGTGATACAACTGCTTATGATAGGAGAGCACCCTATTCAAGAGCATTCAACAGGCAGTTCTGAAAATGCATTTTATTATGAAAAACTGTTTAAAACAAGCTTCAACTTGGAAAAAAAGACAGAATAAACATTAGTTCACACACATAAGAAATCTTTTTGAAGTAAAAGCACACACAAGATTATAGAACGATCAGAGAAACAAATGCTCTATCGTCTAGCATGTTTTATCCTGGCAATCTCCCAACCCTACGTTAGGATGTAAGACCTAGATTCTTAAGGTACCTGCAACACTCATCTTGGAGGATTTTATTAATGTATTAATTTGTTAATTTTACACAAGCGATATTGACCTAGACAGCATGAATGCTCCTTTGTCTGCACAGTGCAGGCTTCCTGTTTTGTGACATTCCAGTTGTGGTTTTGTGTTTTAGAGTAACACTGTCTATCCAAGTCCAAGCAGCCTTATTTCAGACTCCATTCCAATCACCCACAGCTGTGCAGAAAATGCAATCATATTGTGCAAAAAGCAACTTCAAGTATGTTAATTAAATGAATCTAGAAATAACTCCAAACTCCTTGTAGTATTGTTCTACTAAGTGTATCCAAGCTAAATACAAACTCCTTAAGACAAAACACACTAAGAGCATCACTTTAATGCTGAATGCAGCTAATTCTATCACCAAGTGTTCTGTCTGCTTAAATTTGGAAGAGGCAGGATACAAGATGTAGCAAGGATGAACGTGTGTACCTCGTAGAGCGGCATGTATTTCCATGCCAAGCCTTAGTGTGTGTAACACAGGGTAAAACCTATTTAACTAAGGAAAAAAGAATTAAAAGGTCAAAAGGCTTTCCCTATATTTTTATACTAAGAGCAGTCCTAAACAGAACAGCTAATCTAATGAATAGCATTTCCATTTAAAAGTCATCAGAGCTTACACAAAAAGGAGCTCTACTGTCATTGCTGAGAAGAAAAGCCTATGCAGAAGTGGAATGACATAATGAGATGAACTGTGAGAACAACCTTCCAGAACAGGAAATTATCAGCCACTCACCATCCAAGTTAGTGGAGTGATCAAAAAGTAAACATCCAATTCATATAGAATGTCTGTCATATCCAGCAGTAGAAAAGAGGCTCAGATGCATCAAGGTCATAAGTAGGGGTACCAAATCTTCCCCATCTGTTATTTTATCTTCCTTGTTTTTCACCAGAAAATGATAACTAATGCTAACCAAGTAGCCTATCTGCTCTTACCTACAGGTAACTCCCAGCTGTCTCTAGTGGCCTCCTTCCAGAACCTGATTAATGTCTCCAATGTGCTAGAATGATTTCCTCTGATTTTTGCAGGGCAAATTTGCCACTTATGTCAGTGAGCTTAATCCAGCCATAAGAGACATTCCTACTCTTAACAGAATACTTCCTGAGACAGACATTGGATAAGCCAATTTACTTTGAAGGGCAAGAGTTCTAATATTTCCTTTTGCTCAGGAAAAGCCCTCTGATCTAGTTCTCCAGTTTCTACCGAAGCTCCTGCATTAGAAGAGGTTTCTGGACCATAAAACCAGAAATCTGAGGAGACAGATTTACTCATTCCTTGAATGAGTTTTCTTCTTTGTGTTTTACAGCACAGCTACACCTCCTTCGCAGCGGCTGGTGATCATGTTGGCAATTTCAGTCCAACTGTCCATATGAGGGTTATAAACTTCAACAGAGTCAGAGGTTACTGGAGCAGCAAAATCGTGGCTGGGAGCTCGGCCTCCCGAGGCATAAAGAAATCCATTCACAGCCACAACACAGACACCAGCTCTTGGTATCTTCATCGGTGCAACTTCAACCCACTTTTCCTAATGAGAAGGTGAAAAAAGTCAACAAGAAATTTTAGGGCAAGCCCTGATTCTGATAAAAGTAACTGTTATCAGAAAGTACACAAAGAACACTGTGCATACACTTCCCAGGCTCAAATATGGTCTGTGTACAGTATCAAGAGGATTATCAAGACTGGAATAACAACATTTTCACAAGTGGTCCAAATCATGCTAATCACTAAAGAGCAGATCACATACTGTCTGTACAGAACACCACTCCCTTTCTTCACTCACCGTAAGACACAGTCTGTCTCCAAACAGAGAATGGGACACAGTTTGAGGTGGGAAATAAGGAAAACTAGATTCAATTTCAAAAGTAAACCAGAATGGCACACTGGATTATGTTATGCTTTTAACAGTAGCTACTGTTCCAAAGTGCATCATATAAATATGAGTAATAACACTCAGGAATAATTTCTTACCTTATTCAAGACTTTAAGTGTTCAAAGTGATTTTTCTAGTTGTGCTGAAACATCACTACATTTTGATGCAGAAGAAAGATCCTCAAGTTTTGCAATAAAAGGGCAACTCCTACTTTTTCAGAGAGTTTTTTCTCGCCAGTTAGTTTATTGACCATCCTATCGCAGAGGGGGAATCTATCCCCGCCATCTTAACCCTAAACAAGTATTTACCAAACTACAATATATCTATGCATCATCACTATTGCCTAGCTTTCAGTTTCCCAAAAGCATGCATGTGATCCTTGTAAACACTCCACTAGGTCACACAAGATTTTACAGACTGGTTAGGCCAGACAGACCCTGAGGTCACCAAAGGTTTGTTTCACTCAGATTGCCAGCCAGTAGTGAAAAGGAAATGGAATTTCCAACTTTCTTTTTACAGAGAAGAAGCAGGCTACCTCTACAGCATCTTACACAAAGTTGATGCAATCTGCATTTATGAAAGGAAGGGACTCTGCCATACCTCTTCAAAGGAGTATCTTTCTACAGTAGCAAGTGCATCCTGAGATTCATTCCAGCCTCCCACAGCATAGATACAATCATTGAGAGCAGCTACACCAAGATACGCTCTTCGGGTGCCCATTGGAGCGAGCTCTGACCAACGTTTAGATATTGGGTCATAGACTTCAACAGTACGTAGCTCTACTCCTTCATTGCTGATACCACCAACAACATAAATCAAACCTGCAGAAACAGAATTTCTCCTGTTAGGTTTCATAATACAAACATTTGAAAGACAAAATAATGTTTGTCACAATACAAGTTTCAGCCTGGCATTTAGATAGCTTAAGAATGCCAGATAAAAATCCTCCATTTGTCCAGCAGTAGCATACATAAAGTTTTCAAATGAGTCACTTGAGGCTCAAGCACTACAAGCTCTGATGAAAACAATAATTAATCAAGGGGAGAGAATTCAGAAGGCTGCAACTGCTGACCAGGCCTGGATCAAATACTTAATAAGCACATTTATAGATCACAAGTCTTTAGACATAAAATAACTGGTGGCAACTCTTCAGATTATCACAAAGAAACACTTACAACCCCAAATATGGAAGGTAAATAAAAGCAATATCAGGAAAGACAATCAATTGTTAAAAAGCTAGCTGGATAACCATACTGTCAGCCATGTAAAAACTGTTTTCATGAGATAAAAGGCAGAAGACGGAGCAAACTTTAGTTTTTGAATTCAGCAGATTTAAAAATATGGTATTATAAGAACAAATAGGTGAGGCACAAGCATGTGCAACTGACAGTGCAGTACAAAACAAAGGTAAAAATTAATGACTGAAACACAAAGCTGCAAAATCCAGTGGTTCGTGGAACTGTTAATGGAAACAAACTTAACAATGCTCACCTTGCATTTCACAACAGCCAAAGTAGTAACGTGGCACAGCCATGCTTCCCACAACATCCCAACTATTTTCTTCAGGATCAAATCTTTCAATTGTATTGCCAATCTCTGCTCCAACCCAACCTCCTGCAAATAACAGCAAACACAGGAAATAATTTAATGGCATGAAGCTATGTGTTAGCTGCATTTTCAGACATATGGTGCACTGTTTCAGGACAGACAAATTCTGAAACCAGCATGCAATCTACAAAGGAAATTAGTTACAACTGAAGGATAACTAATCCACAAAGATTTGGTATACTAATGCTCATACAAACAGCTATTTTTCAAAACTTCAGTTTGCAAATTTGCAACATCAAGATGTAATATTTAAGATCAAATCAATTTACAAGTTCCATGAATTAACACCTTTAAAATTAACTTCACCTAGAAAAAAACCCCCAAACTTACCCAAAGCATAGATAGCACCATAGCATGCGCACACTCCCAGTCCACAACGGGGATGGTTCATGGAAGCCACAGTGGTCCACTGCTTAGTAACAGGATCATAACATTCCGTACAGTCAAAAATCATTGAGTCCTTCTCACCTGCATAGTAAGAGCAAGAACAGAGACAGGGGAAACATGATGTTTTGTACTACAGATATAAAAGCATTCTTCAGCTCCTTCCAGACAACATTTGAATAGATTTTTCTTTTAGCTAGACAAACAGGCAAAGTAGCAAAAGCTTCGTTTATATCCAGAACTGACTCATGACTAGGAACAGCTTTCATCAATGGTTCTCTAAAACATTACTGAAAATATTTTTACTCCACAGCACAACTGACAGAGTTTTCAAGACTGAAGAATGTGTTCTGTGGTGATAAAAACAGTATATGCATGCATTCTTTAACGATGGGCTGGTAGAGCTACTCATCACATCCTTGTGCAAACATTCATAACAAGCCTTTCCAGGCAGGCAGACCACAATTGGCCTCTCCTGTACTAGTGCCTTTTATGCCGTGAGCCTCTACCAGACTACAAATGAGAAAAATGCTATTAGTGAGGTGGTACACAAAGTCTGCAGAAGATGCAACACCTCTTAGTACATCTGCATATATCTGCCTACCTGTGAGTTGCTATACCATGAAGGGAGAGAAGTTTAGTAAAAAATGGCCAACATAGAAGCCCAAACAGGCATTCACACAGCAGTGATGGTAGAGAACCAAGAAACCCTCATTCAATTGTTAATTATGTCTAAAAGTTGTTTTATTTACTGTTGGGTTCCTCAGAACCACTTGTAGGAAGAAAAATTTACAAAATCTCCATCCATGAGTATCCGTGTAACAAAGCAAGTGTGTTTCAGCTGTTACCTCCAATGGCATAGACCATTCCTCCCACCACAGCCACACCCAGCCCACTCCGGGCCTGGTGGAGAGAGGACACTGTGGTCCAGTAGTGGCTGAAAGTGTCAAATCGTTCCACACAGCTGAGAGCTCTACTGTCACTCCAGCGTCCTCCTTGCAGACGGGTGTACCCACCTAGAAAGCAAGTAGAAAGATCATGGCTGAGTAAGAGCTTCCTGCTCATCCCCGTGTTCCTATATCTAAACCAAAAATTCCATTAACAGCCATTAGCCACTTTTAGTAAGAATTCAGCTTTTCAAATAGCTTTGTTTCTCCAGCACACAAGGAAGAACGGTCACCTGGAGGGTCATGGAACTTATGCCTGAGCTGACTACTTCACCACAACACTACAAATATTACCATTTGTATCCTCAGTAAAACAAAGACCAGTCAGCAGCTTTTGCTATCTTCAGGCAGTGTTTCTACCCACAGGGTGAAACAAGTATACCCTTCCAATATAAAGCTGCAGCTTTGCTGAATACTTGCATTTTCAAGTATCCCATCACATGAACCAGAATATTCTGGACAGAGAAAATGTCAACCTTTAGAAGAACAAGGAGTGCAGGGAATTTGCACACACCATTCCAGCAGTGAACCCTGGGCAAATCCTCTGCTGATTTGCAGATTTCCACCCAAGGCAAACAATTTCTAAAATGCAAATCTAGGCTTTGAATTCCATGTCAGAAAGACATGAAATATGAACGCTGCCCCTCCGTGTAATTCTAAGCAGAAAGCAGCTAATGTGGTAACTCAGTGAGATGAAATATTTCACTATTTTTGTATATTTTGATTTAAAAAAAATCCAGTTTATCCTTCAGTGCTGTAATATAAGATACTACTTCATTTGTTTTACAAGGTTCAAACAACCACATTCTAACCTACTGCATAAAGGTACTTCCTGGCTTTCCTCCGGGGACGACCTTTAGAAGCTTGCAGAAAATTGCTGACCTTGTTCTCTTTGGGAGATTTACAGACTTCACAATATTCTTTCAACAGAGTTTGCAGGGCCACCCGAAGGCTGAAATCTGGAATACCTTGAAGAAAAAAGCAGAATAAAAAAGGCACGGTGAAAAGTTACAGACAATAAGAAACACAGTTGTAGAAAAGTTACTAGCATCTCCTAAAACAGCAGAAAAACCTAGACAGCCTACTTTTATAAGACTTTTTCAAAAGCCTGTTTTTAAAGTAAGCTGTGCTTATTTGTTGAAAAACAGAACTTGTTCTCTATAGACTAAATCTTTTCACTCATCATGCTGTTGACCTGAAAAAAATCCATCACAATCCAACACATGGTTTGCTCAAATATAAGCACCTCTATTCTTTCTTTCCATCGTCCACTTACTTTCTATGTATTTTAATAGCCTTTGGGCCGGAAGCAGGGGGAATCGAACAGGCTCCAGCACTTCTACGACATACTTCTTTCTTTTCCCCACATCCTTCAGAATCCATTGCATCGCCGCCGTGAAAACCTGGTACTCGTCCTCGATGCTGAGGTCCTCGCTTCGCAAGATCTTCACCAGCTGCTCTTTGGTCAGCGCCAGGAACTCCTCGCCGCCCTGCACCTCCAGGAAGTGCGCGTGGATGTAGCTCTCGGTGAACTCCATCAAGTCGTGACAGGCGATCTGCTCGGAGAACTGGAAGAGGCCGATGCAGTTCAGCGGGTCGATCTGCCCCTTCAGGAACTCGCAGCAGAGCTCCACCACTTCGGTGAGCTGCAGCATGTCGGCGGCGACGATCAGCTCCTGCACGTTGTGCTCCGCGATGCTCACCACCCCTGCGGGCACAGCAGGCACCGGGGCTCCGCTCGGG